ATATAATTCTCGAATGCGCTGAGCCTACGTGGCTGCTTCTGGTGCTTCGGAATCCTACTTGGCGAAGAATCATGCTTTGTAATTAGGTTTGGACAAATAATATTGATATATTAATAATTAATAATCTAGGTTCAGACATTTCATAAATATTATTTAGCTAATTTAGGTATTTTAATATCACTTGTACTAATGTAACTGTTTAATTATTTGTAATTTTACATAGTCAGACGACTAATATATCACTGACTTTTGATTTGCTTCCTTCAATTAGCTATTGAATTATAAATGTATTTTAAAAGTTGATAATTTTTGTATTTCTTATCGGTTTTACATATATAACATATCAAATTAATCGTCTTTTGATTATCTTTGATTTAACATTCATATTATATATATGAAATAAATAAATTATATTTATCTTTATAATAATAAAAAATAATAATATTTATTAAATTCATTAGAAAAATAAAATTATTTCTCAAATGATATTTTTATGTTTAATGTAGTTATATGTTGCAAGTTAAAAAAATTAAGATAATATAACACAAGTAAGTCGCACAAATAAAAAGTATCATACTAAATATATAATAATATATATATTTTTATAAAAGATATTTAAATTTTCAACTACTTTTCTCATTAATTTTAGATTTTAAGAAAAAATTAGCAAGCGTCCGTATAATATACGGGCATTGTACTAGTATACAATATATACATATATATTGTTATTCATTTTATCCTTTGTAATTCCCATATGAGTTATATATGTAATGTTATGTTAGTTCAACAATCGATTATAGTATAACACTATATGCAATAATCATAGCTTTGAAAACATAACCGGTCATCGAACCGGTAAAACTACTGGTTCAATGGTTAATTGGTCAGATCGGTGGTCGATCCGATTTAATTAATATATAATTATATATTTATTTTATATGTATAGTATATAATTATATATATTTTTATCATTAAGTTTATAGTGTATGACATTTCTCTATATAATAACTCAATAAAGATATAACCGACAATGTTGATCAAAATTTATAATTTTTTATTTTATTATTTATATTTTAAAATATTAATCTAAATTTAAGTTACAAAATAGGGAGAATAAAAACAACCATATTTTCATTTTAAATCACATTTAAAAATTTATATTATTCATTAAAAAATAAAATAAAAATGTACATAACAAACAACAATAATTTGTTTTTTTTTTTTAAAAATAAATTGGGAATAGATATAGCCCAATAGATAGTCCAATTTTGAAGAATAATATATATTTTTAATGAGTACAATATTGCTTGTAAGACACAATATTGACCCAATAATTTTAGCTATACATATCTCACATTGGAAACACAAGTAAAAAAGTGTGTTATTTAAACCACTTCTCAATAAAAACATTTCAAATTCAAAAGCTTGAATCGGTGAACAGTTCGAATCGGTTCCGGTTCAACTGGTTCGAACGGTTCGAATGTTAGGCGGTTTGATGTGGCAAACCGGACCCGAATGAAGGCCGGTTCCACGTCCAACCGGTTTAACCGGCTGGTCCGATAAATGAACTTCTTCTCTCTGAGATCCGTTCAATACATAAATGTACTAGTGCAATTAATCAGTCAAGTCCAACTGTACCGTTGACACTACAACCGTTCTGATGGGGTGTTCATTTTCATCTAGGTTGTGAATCGTAAATTCTTGTTTCGCAAGTAACTGATAGAATGTTTTTCTGTTCACCCGATGATGACCCATTCTATCTAAATGCAAAACAACATAACATAGAACTTGTTTAATGATTCTCATTCATAAAGGACAAAAGTGTATTATCATCTAAAGCCAAGCGTTTATATAATAGCAACGCGTTTTTTAAAATGTCAATTCGGTTATCAACTTTTACTTTTAAAATTTTGATTAAATCAGTTTAATTTCGGTTTTATTTTTTCAAAATAACTGAAATAATCGAATAGACAAGACTATATAATAAATGTTATTATATAAAGATATGTATTATTTTTTAAGCTAAACAATAATAAAAAATATTAAAATACTAAATATATTTCTATAACATAAATAATAATCTATTGTATTAGTTATTTTGGCTAATTCGGTTAACCAACTGAATAAACTGTATTTTGTTTCAGTTTTGGTTTGGATTGGGACAAAAGTGTGGGAGGTTCGATTTTTTGAAATTTCGACATGATTATTTTAGTTATGACATTACACTTGGTCAGTTCGACCAAAGCAACCGACGAACAACACTAAGCGAGGTGGTTACAATTTTGAAATTTCATAAAAATGTGATAGATTTTTTAACGTAATTGTTAATGTGCAATATTGTGCAAAATTTCAGAGAACCTAAAGTGTAAATATACTAAAACTTCTAAAATTCTAGATAAGTCCCCCAAGATTATCTAATTTTTAATAAAAACCCAAATCTAGCCCCGTCTCCGTCAACTCTCTCTGTCGAAATCACGCCGTCCTTCTCCACGAAGTTCGCGGCTGCTTCTACCCTAAGAGAAGAGGAAATATGTGCCGTCGGATGCTACAACAGGCTTGCACAATCTCAATTTTGCCATTGCAGCTTCCGACAAATCCATGTCCGCCTAGTCGGCCCTCCAGATTCTAACTACCATCGACTCTGAAGGCCGCAACGACGAAGATGGTGTTAAAGAAAGAAAGCAGTGACAACAAAGATAAGTTTGGAGACAATGGAGGCCGACAATTAAAGAGTTTTGTGGTGAATCGACGATTCTCCAGTGGCCACTGGATGTGCGAGAGAGAAAGGGTCAGGGTGGATAGACGACGATGATGGAGAATAAAGGTTGTGGCGGCAATGTGGCTGGTGGCGGTAGGCGGCAGGTTTTTTTTTTCGAAACGATAGGGGGCAAGTTTAGTGTGCCTGAAGCTTTTTTTATGTATGTGTGTATTATGTGTGTGTGAGAGGGAGATAGTTAGGGTGGGTTGGGATTAGGGTAGGGCCCACTTAGTGGGTGGGTGATTGACAATTATGTAATGACCAGATTACTTTTATTGAGTGGTTACACGTACACATTTGACCATGATATGTACCCTTATTTACGATATTTTCACGGCATGTTTGATTGTCATCTACTAAATTTTGACTTCATCATATTCAATGTTATATATCTATTATTTTTTTTTCATTATGTCTAATTCTCATTTAGATCCCACTTAGACTTGAAAAAAAAAAATGTATTTATTTATGGAAAGTGATATTCATTATATCTACACCAACAATATTTTGTACTCACCAGAAAATTGCAAAATCCTACCCCATATACATTTTGAATAATGTGTAAGATGGCTAAAGTCCAATTTATTCTCAAAGTTGGATAAACATAGAAAAAGACTTCATTTTACAATTTTGTAAGCATTTTTGTTGACCTTTTCAAGGCTCAAGTTGTAAATTCCATGCCATCAATAATATTCCAACTTCAACTAGCTTATACTCTCTCCATTTTTTTTTATACATGTCGATGTAGGATGTCAATTTTTTTTACAAATTAGTTGTTGTCGGAAATATTTTATTCAATCTTTCAACTTTATCCTCTTTAACAAACTTTATATCTTATCATTATCTTTAAAAACAACAAATTAGTAATTCAAACACTAAATTTAAGAGGATTAGTATATAAGATAATTACACAACCAACTAAAATCGTAATTTAGAAGTTTTAAATTAAACCGACATCTAAAAAGAAACAAAGAGAGAGTAATTAACTATATTTGTAATGACAAGGCTTTATTCAGACATTTATAGCACAACATATTTGTTTTACTTGGGCATAGAGAGCCCTACTTATAGAATTTCAACTTTTTTTTTTTTTTTTTTTAATTTTTCCTAGACAATCTTAAACAACGGCTAAATATCCAACAAAACTTGTACCAAAAAAAATAAATATCCAACAAAACAATTAGTCAAATAATTGTGTTTCTTTATTTTTTGGAGCAAAAAATGAAAATAATATTGCTAAATAGTCCAATAGTAAGTAATATCAGGTGTCACTCACTGACTCACTCACTCACTCACCCACTCACTCACTCATACAGGCTACATAGTACAGTGTCGCCCCATTTTTCTGATTCTTGTCTCTTTGCTTTTTTCCTTTTTACTCCATTGTTATTCCCCCATATACACTTCTCATTCCAAAGCCCAGATCCATCCTCTGCTATACCCCTCTCTGTCTCACACTCTCACTCTCACTTCTCAAGTTGGTGTCCTTTGGCCTCGCTCTAGCTTTACTGTATCTGCGAGGTTTGGCCGCTCGCCTGAGGTATCCCTAAAGTGCTGCTGCTGTTACTCTATTGTGAATTTTGAATCTTCTTCCTTATTTGAGTCGCATGATGTTGTTCTGTCTTAATCTATGGAGCTGGGCTTGATGAAATTTGATAAAGTTGATAACTTGGTTAACAATTTCACGCTGTCATGTGTTTGTTTACCGTCATTACATTTTTTCCACTTTTCTTTTTAAATGAACTACGTGCCCTGTGTTGCTCGGAATATTCAGTTGATGCAAGAACTGTGTTTTTCTACAGAAGTTTGTGAAATAAAAGGTTCTTGAATGGTGGGCTTTTGACTTGGCATAAGATTGTTCAGAAGTTCTGTCAGTTGAGTGTTGAAACTGTCATTTTGTTTCAACTTTCAAGCGGACAATCATCAGTTTAGTTCATTGGCCCCCATTTTCTTCTTGAAGAATCTCCTGTTGATTTTTTTGATGCAGCAATTAGCATCATCACATGATTTCATGTTACTTCTTCGTAAGACTGCTTTTTATGGTTTGTCGCATTTCCTTCGTTTCTAGTTGACCCAAATGTTTGCTTCCGCAGATTCATCTATCCAACTAATCTCTCTCGAACTCAGGCTGAAGATTCAAAATAAGCTCCTCACTACTAATGACTCCTCAATAAGGTGTATGGAAAATGTTTTAGGTTCCTCTCCAAGAAAACTGGAAACCTAAAGAAAAAAGTCAAACAAAATGGAAGAAATACAATCCCAATCAGACCATTACAGGTCGTCATCTTCATCCGCGAGTAGCCCGGCAAGTAGAGTGCCTTCAGGCAGTTTCTTTTACCTGCGAAAACCCGGTGCCCTCAGGCAGCCCATCTCGTTCGAGGACTCACCTGACTGGGAGGACACTGACATTGAGGTCAAAATCGATGAGGGCCGGGCTGACTCCATTAACACGGCCACTACGCCGGGCTCTCCTTCCCTCTCGAAACTCAACAGCGGCTCTATGCCGTCCCCTCCGCTGCCCGAGGGAGCAGCTGTTATGAGAAAGACAGCAGGGGCAACAATTGTGTGGAGGGACCTGACGGTTAATATAAAGGGAAAAAGGAAGTATTCAGACAGGGTAATCAAGAGCTCGAATGGGTATGGGCTACCGGGTACAATGACTGTGATCATGGGCCCCCCCAAGTCTGGGAAATCCACGCTCTTGAGGGCTCTTGCAGGTTTGGTAGTGGATTACTTTTTTAGGGGGGTGTACGGTTTTTGCCTTAATAAATAAGTTATGGTGTTCTAATTTGATTCTATCGTTATTCAGGAAGATTGCCTGATTCGGCTAGAATTTACGGTGAGGTTCTTGTAAATGGCGTGAAATCACGAATACCATATGGGGCTTATGTAAGTTACTATTGATGCACATGTCTTCTAAACTGGGTTATGATAGTAGGTTTTAATTGAATGTGTTTGTTTTGGTAAAAACTCGGTATTGTGCTTTCTGCAGTTGCTTTCCTTGACTTGTTGTGTATGAATGCATAGGTAGCTTGTGAAACATATGTGAATGTTGGTTATTATAACGAGCTAGACTTTAAAACTCAATGAATAGTAAGTGGTGGCTGTAGAAATCAGAAAATGTCTCGCTGTGTTTGCTTGTGTTTAGACTATGTTTCTCAGTTCAAGACTCACCAAACAAAGTGAAACTAAGATGTTGTCTATTTGAATATCGTCAGAAGGAAACTTGGGACAGTTTTGGACTGCTGTAATCCTATGTTTGCATCATATTACTTTAAGGATTCAGATGCTGTTTGAAATTATTCTTGCCCTATGTACTTTCTAGGTTCAAGCATTTCGTAAAAGTAAACATTATATTTACAATCAATATGGAGTGATTGTAATGCAAAATTCGTATAAATTTTTGTTTACTGCTACACGATTCAAGTGATTGGAGGCGTCCTACTATTTATAGTAACCTTGTCATGCCAAAGGAAATTATTTTGTATTATACCTCTCATCAAAATACTATTTACCCGAAGTAGATAACTTGAATTGGAAGCTGAATAGTTGAACTTTGAATCATCTCATAGTGATTTAGAATGACCTGTTAATATTATAAAATTTGGGAAAATTTTGTCTTATGGTTTACATTTACATTTCCATTGAAACCATCCTGGTACAGGAAGCTCATCTATTGACCTTGCAGTTGTGAAACCTCCATATCTGATTTTGAACACAGCTAAGATGAATAGGTGCCATACTCTGATGTAGGATTTTTGCTGGTTGAATTGTAATTAAGATGTGTTCTTGCACATGTTTTAACTTTCACTAATTATCATCCAAGTGAGGATTGAGTAATAGAATGTGTGGAAATTAATGGTAACGTGAGGCAGTTCGGTCCATATCTGGTGTGCGTGTTTAGCATTTTTCCGTGTTATTAATGCTTAAGAAAAAATATTCTTCCTTATCCCAAAAAGGGAAAGAGAGGAAAGAGAAAAAACAAGGAAGAAAGTTTTGTTGTGTGTTCTAAATCTCAAAGCTGATGTATTATGAGGCAATTATGTGCGACCCGATTTTAACTAGAAGTTGTTATTTGCTATTGCTTTAGGGATTTGTGGATAGAGAAACCACACTTATTGAATCCTTGACCGTGCGCGAGTACCTTTACTACTCAGCCTTGCTTCAGCTTCCGGGCTTCCTTTCTAGGAAGAGCAGCGGGGTCGAGGATGCCATTCTTGCCATGTCATTGGGAGATTATGCAAATAAGCTAGTTGGCGGGCACTGTCATTTGAAGGGCCTTCCAAGTGGCGAGAAAAGGCGGATTGCGATTGCCAGGGAGCTTGTGATGAGACCCCAAATCTTGTTTATTGATGAGCCCCTTTACCATCTCGACAGGTTTCTTTTAGCAGCTATTTCATTATTAGCAGATTTACTGTGTGTATTATATTAGCATTGTGTTTTCATTCATGTCTAGTCTAAAAGGGTGAGAATGTGTGATTTGTGGTTGTGAGGTTTTCAGTATCCTTACTTTTGTCTTTAGATGCACTTGGGTGGGTGAGAGAGCTGTTATGAATCGATTTTTTATTTTATTTTATTCTGCTTTTGTGCCCATAGGTGTATTTGTTTAGGATGTCGAGTGGCATTTAGAAATCCAAGCAAATCTCAGAAAGTCTTAACAAATCCTAGTAAGATCATTTGAATACCTCAAGATTTTGTAAGACTTTCTAAAATCTCAAACGATTACCCCAAGACTTAAAAAGTCTAAATTAAATACACCATGATTTCTAAAGTCTTAAAAGGTCTTTAGAAATCTCGATTGAATACACCTCTCTAAATTCAGTAATTGGGCTTTTGGGTCCATTGACGGAGAATATCCATAAGGGTTGTATTCAGGGTTTAGATTTTATTTAAATAGATTATCGACTGTCATTAGGTTTATCTTTTGTAGGATATGATTGTCGGCTTTAGGCTTAACATCGATGTTTCTTCCAAATTCGATGCCTTGAGCTTTGAACATTCTTCGCTTGTTAATTTTTTTTTCTTTCAATATAATTAAGTATATTCCAATTTGTTCTTTTCTTAAACCCTTAAGGGGGTGCAATTAGATATATTTTTTTGTTTGATGAAGAAGAATTAGTGAAAGAATTAATTATTTTAATAATTTAAAGTAACTTAATATGAAGAGTAACATTTAATTGTGATGTGATGGGAAAATAGTAAAATGATGATTGGCGGTTATAAAATATATGCATTGATGAATGATTGATTTTAGTATATTCAAATTTGAGGAGAAAAACTGAGAAACATGAATAATGTATTTTTGATAGTGAACTGATGTAAAATTAGCGTATTGAACTTCCTTTCGAGGTTTGACCCGTTAAATCATCTAACTAGCTTGTGTGATAAAGAACTCATCTGATTAGTTTTTTCAGCCCAAAACTTTATTTTTGAAAAAACTCAATCTAGGAGCATTTTGAGAAACCATGATGCATAGAATAACATGTCAGCATAAGGTTTTCAAAATAACTATACAAACCGTTATTTACCAAACTTTCAAATCAACTATTACAATCCGCTCTTCGGTATTAGCTAATAGTTAAACAAGACCAGTGTAAATTTTTAAGTAGTTGGTCCTATATACATGCCTTATTTATGAAGTTGGCATATAGAGAACATTTTGAATGGTTAACTGACTTTTACTCCGCGTTTTGCTTTTCTTGATGATTATAACAGTTCTCTGATTACAAATAATTGGAATCTTAGATCATCGGAACCTTGGACGAATAATTAATTAAAAACAAAGTTTTATCTCTACACCACTGGATGTTTTCTGTTCTATTTACTCCTTGACTGTGATGATTCTAGCAAAGTACTAACATAAAGCTCTACCTAATAGTTCTTTTGATATAACATTTATTTCATTTGTTATAAATGATATTTTGGATAACTAAATTTTCCAACGAGTGTGCAGTGCGCTCAATAGATTACATAGCCGATACATTACATAATTGATATCTAATTTTTGCAAGCACTTTCCCACTATAGCCTTTACCTGTTCAGTGTCTTAAATGAATTCATAAGCCTTGTCGATTTTCCTTATTTAATTTTCTGGGAAAATAAATTCTTTTCGACTAACCGATTTTTTTTCATATTCAGTGTATCTGCACTTCTTATGATGGTCACACTGAAGAAGCTTGCAAGTACAGGCTGCACTCTCATCTTCACCATTTGCCAAAGCAGCACGGAAGTGTTTGGCCTTTTCGACCGAATTTGTCTTCTTTCAAATGGAAACACGTTGTTTTTCGGTGAAACACTTGCGTGTTTGCAGGTAATAATTGAAATGCGAATCTCCTGAACGTGAAATTTATTTACTATATGCTTGGTGGTTTATCTGTTACAGTAAGTATTTAAGTGATCTTTCTACAAATTTATCACCATTTCATATTATTAAATGTTTGTGATGTCACTCAAAAAGAGGATGCTGGTCTTAAAGTTTTAATGTACATGCAACGATTAGTGAGATCCTGATGAAGTTAAGATGATAGATTTACTTAAAGTGATGATGCTTTTCGTGTAGCTTTACATTGAGATGCATTTGATTCATTGCCTTGTTTCTGTAGCATTTCTCCAATGCTGGATTTCCTTGCCCAATAATGCAGAGCCCATCCGATCACTTTCTGAGAGCTATAAATACAGATTTTGACAGGATTATTGCAATGTGCAAAAATTGGCAGGTATTTTGCTTTAAATTCCTACCGTGCACAGGTGGATAAACTATCTCATAAGATGGGTTATATATCTAGCTAATTACGGCTGCCACTACAGCTGTTGCCTTGTTATACTAATTTTCTGCAGAATAATTGTTTTTTTTTTCTTTTGTGACTCGGAATAATTGAATTTAGTATGTCTTGTTTGTTTAGGTGTAATAAGGTGATATATAGATTCCTTCCATATTTCTTTTTTATATGGGTTTTTTTGTATGTGACTATTAGTGACTGATTTTTGCAGGATGACCATGGAGAACTTTCATCAGTTAATATGGACACTGCCGTTGCAATTCGCACTCTTGAAGCAACATATAAATCATCTGCAGATGCAGCTGCTGTTGAGACTATGATTTTGAAGCTTACAGAGAAGGTAAGCACTACTGCCATTAATCATAATGCAGCTTTTTTCTTTTTTTTTTTTTTTTTTTTTTTTTTTTTTTTTTTTTTTTTTTTTTGTTTGGTCTGTCCACACATTGCATCTATCCAAGTAAAAAATAAAGAAAAAAGAAGGAATTTTCTGCAAATTTCATCAACAATGTCCCATTATTTCTCTAGATATGCAGCTAAGACCAATCCAAGGATCAATTTATACATAGATACATGTTTACCATATATTTTAGGAATGATAATTTCTATTGTATTCCTTTAATAAATTTGGTGCAGTCGTTATTTTTTATAAATAAAATTGAGTTTTTCAAGTGCATTATATACTGTTACTATTGTGAAGTAGACAGGGAGAGAGTAATAATGAAATGCGATACAGACGAATCATATGTTAAACCCTTTGTTTCAAATATTACTTGTGTTCTTTATGTCTGTGTATGGCTACAGGAAGGCCCGTTTCCCAAGAGCAAAGGCAAAGCAAGCTGTGTCACCAAAATTGGAATATTGACTTGGAGATCATTGTTGATTATGTCAAGGGAGTGGAAATACTATTGGCTTCGTTTTTTTCTTTACATTTTCTTGGCTCTATGCATTGGTACCGTGTTCTATGGTTTGGGGCACTCTTTATCTTCAGTTGGGGTAAGTTTGTATTTTTGCAGCAATTAAGTTGCATGTTTTTTGGTTAATCTTTATTAAACGATGCGTTCAATTAATTTTGAGCTATTGTGTGCTGTAACTTATTCAACTGGAGATAATAGTTATTCTATTAATCCTTGTTTATTGACTAACTAAACTTCAACTTGTAATTCTTATATCGGTACTTGTACCACAAGATGGCCGCTTCTTCTAAACGCTTATGGCTTTTGCTAACACTTTACAATTATAATCTCATATAAGATATGTGTATCATTACTATTGTTAGTTTTTTGATTAATTGTTGTCCCACATCGGATGTATACCAAAGATGTGTAGGATCTTATTAGTATAAATAGGTCCCTTGCCTTTGGGTTACAATTGCACCTTATTCTATTCTCTCCTATTTAGAAGGAAATCCTTAATTAAGGAAATCCTATTTTGTGGGTTATTTAACCCTAGTTGTATTTTGTTGGTGAGTTTAGTAAATTTGGCGTTGCGGTTGGCGGTGCCCGGAGACGTAGGCTATTTTCGCCGAACTCCGTTATCAATTTTTGTGTTCTTTTTATTTCTCGTCTTTTATTTGTGTTGGCTTATTTTGGAGTAGTACTTGCCATATTTGTTGGAGGGGTATTTTTGTCCGCTGCGCTTGTTGTGATACCCCAACAACTATCTCATTCTTATGCTTAAGTTCCTCCCACACATGATGATATTTTAAATTTCAATGTTTTATCTGTTAACCAGTGTTCTTATCCCTAAATAGAGATATTGACATGTAATGAGGGAATCGGATTCTTTTTGTTGATGTCATCCTTGTTAATGTCCTTATTCCCTTTCTTTTTTTGGTGCAATATTTGAGCTGCAGGCTAGAGTTGGAGCTGTATTTACATTCGTGGCATTCACATCACTTCTGAGTATAGCCGGTGTCCCTGTGCAATTGAAAGAAATCAAGGTAACAAAAGTACATATTATTCATTCCTGTAAATTTTTAGTTTGGAGTTCAATTACACTTTCTGTTTCACTGTATTAAAATTTATTAAATTCTCACGTTACGATGTCATCAACATTTTAATCAAATCACTACTGTTATGCGCCCAGATTTACTCCTGTGAAGAGGCGAACCAGCATTCTGGGACATTTGTTTTCTTAATCGGGCAACTTTTGTCGAGTATCCCATTTGTACTTCTCCTCTCGGTCTCCTCGAGTTTGGTCTTCTATTTCCTTATCGGCCTACGTGATGAGTTCCACTTGTTGATGTATTTTGTGCTGAATTTCTTCATGTGCCTTCTCATCAACGAGGGACTCGTGCTGCTTGTTGCGTCCTTTTGCCGGAATATCTTCCGGAGTATCTTGATATTGGTGACTGCACATGTAAGTGCTGAGATCAACTTATCCATGGTTTATAAAGACTTGAGTCTGTGTTTCTTTTGCCTTTTTTTTTGGTTGATTTTTTGTGTTTTATTTCCAGACTTACCTGTGAGGTTTAGCAAAATTGTCTTTTTCTATTTGTAGTTTCTTTTGGAATTGCAAATATGCCCCTGACATGTTTCTTATTGCCAAACTACATTCTCAAGAGGCATTATTTGTAAGGTAATAATAAATCTCAAGGGGATTGTAATTTCAAAGGTGAAACTTATTCACTCCCCCAGTTATACAAAACCTTAAGAGCAGAATAATTGAAAAACAATACCAACAAGGATTAGCCTGTTTACGAAAGACTCCAGTTATCTTCGAATATGACAATTGCCACCCTTGAAGGATTATATTATGACATACCTAAGGTTTGTATTTACCTTACAAATACCTCCCCTCATGAGTGAATTGTGGTAAAAGAGTAACAAATGGCAGAGGATACTCGCAAATTCCGAAGTTAATTGGGTCAACTATCATACTTTCCTGAGCATTGTGAGATATACACATCATTTTGAAAACCATGATGTTTTCACTTAAAAGTGTACATTTTTCAATCGAAAATTTGACCAAAAGAAATCTTCTGTTAGTCAGACTGATAGCATATTATACACTAGCTGTTCGTTATTAGGCTGAACGAACCTCAGGGTAGTTTCTGTAATTAAACCTACGATTCATTTCTTTATTATGTTTCCTTTGTGTGGACTATTCCAAACTCTACGTATAACACGTCAATCTAATCAATATTGACTTTTTTTTTTTTTTTTTCAGATGGTCATGATGCTTTCAGCTGGGTACTTCAGGATTCGTAGTGCTCTGACGAGGCCAGTATGGATGTATCCCATCTCATACATTGCTTTCCATACTTACTCTATTCAGGCAAGTTAGCCCTGTACTATTTAGGCTGCGTATGCCGATTCACGTTCTCTTGTTTGTATCTATAACTCATAGTGAAAGCGAAAATTAGGAATCATGTAAGCATGTGTCTCATTGGGAGAAATCAGGACCTTTTCTTATTGAGTTTTCATACTGAAACTGGACTATTTTGCCGAATACCTTTTAGTTAAGTTGTAGGTTATTTATATGTTGTGGCTAACAAATAAATGCTTCCTAACCTTGGCTTTCAGGGGCTTTTGGAGAATGAGTATATTGGTACGTCTTTTGCCGTTGGCCAGGTAAGATCAATCACCGGTTACGAAGCGCTGCAAAATGCTTATGACATATCGGCCGATGCCAATTCAAAGTGGGGAAATTTACTGATATTGTTTCTTATGGCCGTTGGGTACCGTATTCTTGTTTTTATCCTGCTACAATTTCGTGTCAAGAGGACCGTCTCCCTTTTCGGTTCGTTCCCGTGTAATCAAAATACAAACAATGCAAGATAAAAAAAAAACAGATTGGAGTGATGAGATACTTAAAAGAGATCTTTTATTTCATTTTATTTTTTTGGAAGTTAAATTGTTTTTGTGTTGTGTTCTTCTCTTGATCAGCTGTTTGGTCTAAAAGAATAAAAACACAGTGATTCTTAGCTTTTAGCTGAAAAGAAATGAAAATCTAAAGGGCACTTTTTCTTCTGGACTTGGATTAACAGTTACAGTTTTTAAGTAAAATTTTAAAATAGAGTAAATCACTTGTTAATTTCAAGTAAATACCTTTAATTGGATATTAGTACTAAGTGTAGCATATAAAAAAAATAAATCACTTGTTGATTTAAAATAAATAAATGCATTAAAATATTCCTCAAACAGAATATCATAATCTTTTCTAGCATGCTGCCAATGTAACCACAGAAGAAGAATATGTACAGTACTGTGAACCAAATTTCAGCAAAAATTTAAAAATTCCAATATAAAAGCACCACTCAAGCAAATTGTTCATATAGATGTGTGACTGACCTCATTAGATCACAAAGTACCACCAAAATTATCTATCTTAAAGAGTTGAGCAAATATTAGATAAAATAAATCTCTCAAACAGACCTCTCTCACATAGGACTGCCCCTCGAGCCACCACATAATAACTAACGAAAGGCCCAGGGCCCTTCAAATATTACCGACCGACCGTCAACAAACTGCCCCCATATATAAAGCCATTCAGTTCCTACGCCTCACAGTATTATGTATGATCCGAAAAGAGCACCTCTCGGCCCAAGGAATCAAAAGCCCCATGAAGCGAAACGGAACCGGGCAGTTACACCACACATCTAAAACAGAAAAGTCAAACCTCAGTCAGGCCAGGCCCGCCTTCGCCTTGAGGTGCTCCTTGAAGTCCATGATGTCACCCTCCCACCTCGTCACGGCCTGGTTCTCGCAAACCCATATCTCATGCGCCACCTGGTTTATCAGCCTAAAATCGTGGCTCACGAGCACCAGCCCCCCATCCCACTCGTTGAGCGCCTCAGCCAGCGAGTCAATCGTCTCGATATCCAGATGGTTGGTGGGCTCATCCAGCAGCAGCATGTGGGGTTGCCTCCATGCCAGCCACGCAAATATCACTCGGCTCCTCTGCCCGTCTGAAAGGTTCCTCATCGGCATCACCTGGGCCTTGCCCGTCAGCCCAAACCTCCCAACAGCGGCACGCATCTTCTCCTCTTCGTTCCCTGGGTACTCCTTCAGCATGAACTGCAGGGCCGACATGTCCATGTCCAGCTTCTCAGCCAAGTGCTGGTGGAACTGCGCAATCCTCAGGTGGTTGTGCCGCCTCACCATGCCGTCCAGCGGGACAAGGTCCCCTGTCATTAGCTTCAGGAGGGTGCTCTTACCGGCACCGTTGGGGCCCACAAGGGCCACACGTGAGTCGAGGTCCACACCAAAGTCGAGGTTCTTGTAGATGAGGTTGTCGGGGGTGTAGCCGAATGTTACCTCCACAAACTGAAGAACGGGAGGGGGAAGCTTGCCGACATCCACAAAACGGAAGACAAGGACCTTGTCCCGGACCACCTTCTCAGTGAGGCCACCACGCTCCATCTTGGCAAGGGTTTTTTCCTTGCTCTGGGCCTGGCGGGCCAGCTTGGCTGAGCCATGGCCAAAGCGCGCAATGTACTCCTTCATAGAGGCAATCTGCTCCTGCTCCCACTTGTACTGCTTCATCTGATTCTCCTCCAGCTCAGCGCGGGTCTGGACATACTGGTCAAAATTGCCTGTGTACAGCTTCAGCTGCTTGCTCTGCATGTGGATTATGTTGGTGCAGACCCCGTTAAGGAAGTCTTGCGAGTGTGACACCACCACCAGGATCCGGTCAAACTTTTTCAACATCTCCTCTAGCCAGACGCAAGCTTCCAGATCTGTAATCAAATAAAATAAGTTATTCGAATAGCTGCAGTATTCAAAGATCAATTGTTGAAAAAAGATATATAACTGAGCAAAAGCATACCAAGATGATTTGTAGGTTCATCAAGCAACAATATAGTAGGGTTCATGAAAAGAGCTCTAGCCAGAGCAATCCTCATCCTCCACCCACCAGAGAAGTCACGTGTTTTCTTTTCTTGCATTTTCTTGTTAAAGCCAAGACCAAATAAGATCTCAGCAGCTCTTTTCTCAGCAGTTGATGCATCCAATGCATCCAGACGTTCATAAATACGCTCAAGAGCTTCACCACCCCCATCATCCTGTGATAAAATATAAAAAGCATTAATACCTCATCAGCTGGCCATCTACAAGACTCGTAATTCTGGTATATATATGTGTGTGTGTGTGTGTGTGTGTGTGAATATACTTGTACAGTTGTACCTGTCCAGCCAACGCTTCGGCTTCTTTCTCCAGTTTCAGCCTCTCCTCATCACAACTTATTACAGCCTCAAGTGAAGACATGTCAGATGCTTCAATCTCTCTAGTCAGGTGATAAATATCCATGTGTTCAGGGATAGGAAGCTCTCGACAACCAATTGCTGAAAGAAGTGTGGACTTCCCGCATCCATTTAACCCTAGCAAACCATAACGTCTGCAAACAGGCATCAGATTTCATGTAAATAATAGATGGCAATTGAACTATCAAGTCTATGATGTACCACTTACCTGCCGTAATTAAGTTCCAGTTCAGAGTCCACAATTAGGTCATGACCATGAAAAGTGAGTGAAAGTGATTCTATCTGGAAAATAAACAACATTAGTTAACCAATTCATACCTTGCTGTATAACAAAAGATTTAAAAACAAAAACAATCATATAGTTGCATATAATGGTTGCGCGAAAGGGTGATAGCTTATGCTCATTATAACTATCTTCCTTGATATATCCAAAAAGGGAGATACAATCGGACAAGGAAGGCTCTCCTTAGGTGCACAAGCTAGCAACAATATACTGAACACTCAAAGCTATCCTTGCAAAGTAATGGGCAATCCACAGACAATTTTCAAAAACGCATCATTTGTATTAACTTAAAGTGGTCTAAAATTACAAAGACTTATTTTGATAAGAACTTTAGCTGCCTTATATTTTCTGTATATAAATAAGCTTGGTTGGTAGGACGAGCCCTTTTTATAAAGTTCGGTCTTATCTCATAAGCTTATTTGGGTAGCTTTTCAAATAAACCCGCTGGAATATTTTATTTCAGTGGCTTCAGCTAATTTTATGAACACATTTATCATGTCATGTTTTATCGTAGCATATCACCTAACTTTTTTTGTCATAAGCGAGGTTTTAAGCTATAAGTTCGAAATTCACTTTACTTATTCTTTTATTATCTAGTTTTACCAAACATAATCATAGGGTTTTGAATAGGGTTTTAAGCTTATTAGGGTTGTGAGAAAAATAATATTCACTGCTAAGTACGACGCCACAATTATACTAAGACTCAGTCTAATCATATATATTGTGCGTCAAATTTATAACAAAGAACAAAAATGAGCACAAAACTCCCAAGATTTGCTAGCTCATGTTCACATCAAAATTACCAAGTAAAAGAAAGAAAAGAAACCAAACAAAAGATGACCAAAAATAATTGTTAAAAGTTGTTACAAACAAGCACCACCTAAACTTTTGCTTATCTTCTAACCCATCTTAAACAAGAAAGCTACCACTCAAATATATGATAAGATGGTCTACTAAACTGAATTTCACTACTCGGATTAACAAGTTTCAAGCCTTTCAAAGAGCACAAATTCAAAAGTTATAATCTTGTCACTACAGATTTCAGTGCTAATAGCCTTATTATGATCCTGAAAATGGCACAAGAATTTTAAAATCTAAAAAGAATGAAGTCATTTGCAAACTCAGATTACAAGAAATTTAGTTTTCTGGCATGATTAAAACTTTTACCACCATAACAAACAATAAGGCAAACTAAAATAAAAAAAATAGAAAACCGATACAAAAATATAAATCTACAGCAATCCCTTGAGAAAGGAATAGTTTTTTTTTTTCTTTTTTTTTTCAATCATAGCAAGATAAATGCTGCTAACATTGTGTTTTCATACAAAGATCATGCATTTCCACACCAATAAGGTTTATTATGCATTCAGACTGAACAATCTAATCTGTTGTATACACTCGGCAAGAATTCTCCCAATTACGTTAAACGACCAAAAAATAAAAAATAGTAGATCGAGGATCTCACCCGAATATCTCTTGAAAGCGGATGCGAGCAGAGAACTCCTGTGCACGTCCGATCAGATATATGGAGATCGGCGACCCCACTGGCCAAACTATCGGCTTTGCTGCCGTTCTCAGCGGCGGCAGCCTTTGACGAGGCCGCCGCTGCGGCAGCCTTGCTTCCTCTCTTAGCGGCGGCAGCAGCCTTCTTCTGAGCTGCCTTCTTCTTACTCGCGTCAGACACCATCTGACAGAAAACCAAAAATCAGGCCCCCGATCTCACAAATCAACAATTCAACATATGTTTAAGGAAAACAGAAAATTCGAAAGGCTCACCTTGAAATCTGAGAGATGCGAGTTGAAGGAAGATCTAGGGTTTTCGTATCGCCGGCGGGGCCTCTTGTTCTGATGAGACTCCGAGGATGAGGGTTTGGGGGGTGCGCAAATCTGAGAGTTGACATATATATAGGACTGGGCCGTTGGGTAGGAGGAGACACGTGGCGAGGAACTAACGACGTTGGATTGGATTTTAACGGTTGCGATTACATGCGTGTTCCAATTGGACAGCTGAATTGACCATCACTATCTTGGGCTTTAGGCCCATAAATGATCATTCTACTCGGCCCAGTTCCAACTGGATGTCTACTTGTTTTTGTTTTTATGATCAGTTATGTACATTAATTTTTTCGTCTGTGCCCGACTGTAGCCTCTCTGAGGTAAGTGTTGTTCATTCTATAGCCTATGGCATGCAGTTTAGGTGTTCGATAAAATGTCCATGTCAACATTTAGTTCTGTTTTTTCTCCTTTTTTTTTCACTTTAATAAATCATAGTATTGGGAAATGCTACGGTCCCATTACGGTAGCAGCCCGTCGAGTGTTTTAAACGTTGGATCCACATTTAGTTAGATAAGATAAATAATCTAATGGGACCGTAGCATTTCCCCATAGTATTATTGAAGCGAATTGACCCATTTCTTGTTTATCACGATGATAGCAACAACGTAAATGCTGCTAACATTTTTTCTTTCTTTTGTGGGCTTGTAATTAATTGAAAGAAAAATGAATAATTTGACATGGTTGCCTTGGGATGAATAGGAAGGATTAGCATGAGTAATAATTGAAAAGGAGATAGATGACATTGCTGAAGAGGTACGTGGTGAGGATGTTCATGTCGTTAAAATACATAACGGCAAATGTGGTGGACCGGAACAATGGGCGGATAGTGGCGAGTGCCTCGAGCGTGGAGAATGCCCTGAAGAGCACGCTGGAGTGCAAGCGCACGTGCAATGCCAAGGCAGCTGCGGTTGTGGGGGAGGTTCTGGCCATGAGGCTGAGGGTTGAAGGGCTGGAGAATGGGCAAGGTAGGGGAATCCACGTGGACGTTGGAAAGGAGATCGAGAAGAAAGGCCTCCAGAATCGGACCAAGGTGTGGGCTATTGTCAATGCTCTCAAAAACAATGGCGTCAAACTAGTTCTTGAGAATGTGTGATTGAGGTTTAAGATTTTTATGTTCTTCTTTTTTTTTTTTTTTTTTTTTTTTTTTTTTTTTTTTTTTTTTTTTTTTTTT